TATGCATGAATTCCTATCACTGATTATCACTGACAGAATTCTAAAACTGTGAAGCAGCGTGGCTTTTAAAAAACATTCCATTGCTCTATTCAACACACACACACACACACACACACACACACACACACACACACGTGCAAAATCTTTAACTCCTACTCCCCAGATCTGTGAATATTCAGATCTCAGCAATTATCTTTCTATGATCATATCATAGAACCCTTGCATATTCTAATCCAGATGTCAGGGACTAAAGAAAACGCAGGTGTTGTATGTTTATGTACCTCTTAAAGTGAAAAAAGTTATTCTACTCTATTCAATTGTTTGTTCTGGCCTGTGTTAAACACTTTTTTAAAATTTATGCCCAGCCCTATTAGTCATCTTTGCTGCACAACAAAACTTGTTGCTTTAAAACAAAAAACAGTAAACATTTATTAACTTATTATGTCTATGTTCCAAAAAATAGGGCTAAGAATAGCAGAATGATTCTAGCTCTGGACCTCTCCTGAGATTCAGCAAAGATGGGCAGGGATAATATTAAGTCGTTGATAAACTAGACTAGAGGATCAACCTCCAAGTTTGTTCATTCGTCCAACTAATCTCAGGAATTCTTATTTCCTTAAGACTGCTGCTTACAGGAAACAATGATAATTTAATAATGTGGGCACCTCTATAAGTTGCCTGAGTATCTTTACACATTACAACTGACTTGCTCCAGCAAATCAGTCCCAGAGAGAGAACAAGAAGAAAGCTGTCATGTTTTCTATACTTCTCCTTAAAAAGTCATACTATAGCATTTCATTAAGATTGTATGTATGAGAATAAGTCAGTAAGTGCAAAATCAAACTTGAGATAAGGAGAAAGAGGCTCCATTTGAAGAAAATAGCAATGACTTGCAGACATTTTCCAAGGACTGTGGAAGTGAATAGGATTTAAATTTAGAAAATTTAATTGTTTTCAAAATGATTTGTTAATCTAATTTGAATACATGAGAGTTGAAAGGGAAACTAAACAAGGGCAGGAGAGATGGCTCCAAGGGCTGGAGCACGTGCTTCACTGCAGGAGCTGGGAACAGGCCCCAAGTAACCATGGGTGTGGTACAAAAACAAATCACGGAAAACTACTAGAGAAAAGGGTGGCTTCTTGTTTCCATTTTCATTCTTTCCTCGCTATTAAAAAAATTCTACACGTAGCCTTTAATAATTGTTGACTTGTCCAATCAAATCAATACAAATCCAAACAATTAAAACTTCAATTTCAGGACTTTACATTCACATAACAACAAATTTAGGAATGGACAGTTCAGAGCTGGTAGGCAGCCTGACAAAGCAATCATAAGCCCAGGCACCTCTGGTCTCCTACATTATTTATAGTATATGAGGTCATTGTTACTCTGATTAAAATACGGCCACTCTTTCTCCCGGAGCCTCATGCCACTGTTCTAGATAGGACAGACACAGGTCTAATAGCTAAGGGACATTTCTTCAATCTTTGAGTCCATTTTAGCAATATCCATTTAATTCTGTCACTTGGCCAGTCATGCTTACAGAGTCTAGCTGGGCATATTATTACCCTAAAACAATCTGCTAGTAAAGAAGAAAGGATATTAGCTTAAACAATTAGCAGAGTCTACTATCCTGCTCCAAGTCACCCAGAACATATATCTCTGCTCTAATCTCTGATGCATATTACTGAAACACTACATCAGAGCTGAGATTTATCTTGTTTTCAAACAGAAGAATCTGGTAATTTTGAATCCCATAAACAAAGAATATATATATACTTATAATATATAATATATATTCTTAAATGTATAAGGGTAGTATACTCTGATAATTATTTAAGCTAATATCTTTTAATATACAGATACCTCATGTGTAGATATGTATATATTCTTAAAAATAAGAATATGCTTATACAGAAAGGAATAAAAAGGGTGTGATTGCTATTTTTAAAAAACTAATTTACTTTAATTATATAAGATATAATATAATATATCTCATATAATTATATAAGATATAATTATATATATAAGATATATATGTGTATATTTATATATATTCTTAATTTATGGAGTTCATAATTCCCAGCATTCCTGTGGTACTGGGATTGAATTCAGAGCTCTTCCATGTAAAACAAATGCTCTACCACTGTGCTATATCTTTAACCTTTAAACACATAATTATTATGCACATATATATCTATTTATATATTACTGTGAGTACAACTTTCTTTTTTTTAATTTATAACACTAGCTAATATTGTCATTTCTAGGTACTTTTAGCAAGGTTATTTTACAGCTGTGCAAAGGTATAAGAATAAGATTTGTCAATAGAAAATAATAGTATATACTGTTTACAACAGTAAGAAAATAGGAGAAAAAACTCCACTAATGTCAATCATTAGAATATTAAATGATAGCATATCATTTAATGAATATTTTGGGATTTTAAAAAATGTTATTCAAGATATATTGTTCAGTGAGAAAAACTATATAAGATTCACCTAATGAACGATTATATTTATATTTGTGTTTTTCATCTTAGTAATGTCTGAGAAAATGTAATATGAATTTTTAAAAATGTTTATCACTAGGCCAGAGAGATAATATAGCAGGTAGAGCCCGTGCTTTGCATGCAGCTGATCCAGGTTCAATCCACAATACCACATATGGTCCCAGAGTCTCACCAGAAGTGATGCCTGAGCACAAAGTCAAGAGTAAGCTCTGAGTGAGCACAGTTGGGTGTGGCCCCCCAAACAAAAACCAGTAACCTCCCCTCAAATGGTATCACAATATTATGGAATGTAGAACTATTTTGGAAGTACTTGTTGAATAAATACAGTTCTCATGAAAGTAATAGCTACTAAAAACAAACTCAAAGGGCAGGAGGAGCAGTTTAGATCTGGTATTATTCTTATCAACATTCCTACTTTCCAGGAATTTTCTTAGACATGGTATAGTTGAACTTTCTTACTTTTTCCCACTGAGGAAAAATGTTCTTCCTCATTCATCATCACTTTCAATAAAAATAAAAGGAAATAAAGAAATGTTTTGTTTTCTGTTTGGAACACTATGGCCTCTAAAAGGTGCTCCTTTGCCTTTATGGCAATGGACAGGAAGGGGTGAGGTTGGACAAAAACCTTACACACAGGCAGGAAAGAGAAAAGAGGATGAGGTAAGGGATGTAAGGGGAGAAGGCCCTGGCACAGGCCAGGCCAAGTGCGCTGACCTGGATATCAGGAAACTTTTACTTCTCTTCTTAGCATGATCTGCAGTTTTCTGACTTTAGTTTTCTCATCTGAAAAATGAGAGGTTTGGTTAAGAATCAATAGATTTTTAAAAAGGTGATTTTAGAAAATTCTTTCGAATCTATTAATAGTAAACTATACTAGAACAGAATCTAAACAAATTAAAGGGAAATAATAATTTATATGTTATTACTTCTCCTAGCCATGTGTAATTTGTCAAGAATACACAGCTAGTAAGTGCAAGAACCAAGATTCCAGCTAGAGTCTGCATTCATAAAAGTTCTGCAGAAAAGCACGAAAGGAGGTCATTTTGTTTGTTTTTTGGGCCACAGGAGGCAATGCTTAGGGGTTACTCCTGGCTCTGCACTCAGAGGTCACTCCTGGCTGTGCTCGGGGGACCAAATGGGATACTGGGGATAGAACCCTGTCTGACCGCGTGCAAGGAGGTCGACTTGGACGTAAATGGTCCCCCGAGTCCACCAAGAGTGATCCCTGATGTGATCCCAAATAATTAAAAATAAAGTAAAAAATTAACAAAATATTTCTTAAAAAGATACAAGGTTTTTTCCTTCTTGTCAAGTTAGGCCTAGATGAGATAATATCCTGTAATATAAAAGCCCTGTTACCTCTCTCCTGCCGGCGTTAGGACTGCCTCAGCTTGCAGGCAGCCTCCACCCTCTATTATTTAGGGGGGGAAGGGGGAGGGGGACTAGAGGTGGAGGTGACTTATTCCTGGCTCTGCACTCAGCGATCACTCCTGACAGTGCTGGGGAACCCTATGGGAGGCCAGGTACTGAACCCGGGTTGCCTGCTAGGCAAGCTGCAGATCTGCTATACTATCGCTCTCGTCCCTGGGCTCTCTATCTTAGAGACAGTTTTCTGATACAAAAATCCTTGCCCCAACTGGACTTGGCACAAGTGGAGTTTTACAAACGGGGGCAGAGTTTAATGAAGCCGGGGGAATTGCCTGCAGCACCCAAGCATTGAGAATCCTTAGTTCATGCGTTCCTACAGAAGGTGGTGTGGTATCAGTAACGGGGTTTTCACTCCTTCCTGGTTCACGAATGTTTGCCCAGCATCCCCTTAGTATGCCTCACCTAGCCTTATTTCCTTTTATTATGGCCAGAGGAGGTGGGGAGGAGCACAGGGGAGGAGAGCAGGGTTCAGAGCAGGCTGGAGGTCAAGCCCAGCAGTGCTTCAAAGTCTGACCGTCACACAAAGATCCCTCAGAGCATCTCCGGTCTTAATTCCTGCTATTTCAACTGCCTTCGTCCCTCACTGAGTTCCAGGAACTAGTGCCAGAGCCCGTGCATCGCAGGTTCTGGAAAGAGGGAGCCTGGGGCGGTTCGTGTGTTTGGGTGAGGTGGGGTTGGGGGTGGGGAGGGGCGGCGGCTACTGCCAAAAGCCGCAAGCGGACTGAGACCGTAGCTCACTCCGGACCCGACTTCCCAGACCCCTTCGCAGAGGGGCGGAGCGGTGCGCGGCAGCCAATCCCCGCGTCCGCACGTCGCCGTCGCCCCGCCCCACTCCCCCCAGCCCGCTCTCTGGTGCGGCCGCGGCGACGTCAGTGCTGGGAGACCCCTGGGTGGCGGCTGCGCCGTTGGCGGGCCGCGGCCTGGATGCGCTACGGGGAGGGGAGGAGCGAGCGGGCGGGAGCGCGCGCGGGTCCCGCCTCGGCCGCAGCTGCCGCTGCCGCCGCCGCAGCCGCCGCCGGCGCCGCGGCTGCCCGGGAATCAGTCGGGGCGGCAGCGGGCGGCCCCGGCTAACGGCCGCGAGCCACACTTCGGCAGCTGCCGCGGGGAGCGAAGTTGCCGGCTCTCGAGTCGTCCCCCTCTCCGCCCCCCACAGGAGGGGCGAGAGGGAGCCGCAGTCCCTGTCAGGTACGGCCGGGGGAGGCGCCCTCAGGCTGTGGGTCCAAGGTCTCGGCTCTCCTTGCCCTCCCCCTCTCAGAGAGAGAGAGAGAGAGAGAGAGACAGAGAGAGAGAGAGTGAGAGAGAGAGAGTGAGTGTGTGTGTGTACGTGTGTGTGTGTGTGTGTGTGTACGTGTGTGTGTACGCGCGCGCGCGCGCTCGGGGGCGAGCAGTGGGGCAGGGAACTGTGGAGGGTGGAAGCAAATCCAAACGCTACAAACAGGTGTCTCAGGGTCGCCGTCAGTGCGGGTTCCTGGGGGAGGCGCGGACCACTTCCTGCCCCCGACGCCTCGGCATCCCGGCCCCGGCGGCCTCCCGCCCGCCTGCCCTCTCTCCCGAGGCCGCCGCGCTCGCGGACTTGATAGCCTCCTCCGGGGTTGTGTGGGTCCCTCCTCTCCTGCCCTTTTGCTCCCCTCCGAGCACGCTGCCTGGCCGTTAGGCGGCGACTGTGAGGTGGGGGCGGGGGTGGGGGGTTCGCGGCTCCGCTCCGGCCCCGACCGCTTAGCGGTCCTCCTGCCGCCCGGCCTCTTTCCGCCACCCCGGAGCTGTGGGAGCAGTCGGGACTCGGGAGTTCCCCGTCCCCGCGCCCCTGCGGTGAGCACCGCATGCACTCATGCACACACACACACACACACACACACACACACACACACACACACACACACAGCGTCCACTGAGTGCCCGCCGGACACTTGTTCACAAACACGTCCCCGAGTGCCCGCCGGACACTTGTTCTCACACACACACACACACACACACACCGTCCACTGAGTGCCCGCCGGACACTTGTACACACACACACACACACACATACACACACACACACACACACACACACACACACACACACACCGTCCACCGAGTGCCCGTCGGACACTTGTTCGCTCGCACACACAAGGTCCCCAAGTGCCTGCAGGATACTAGTAGTTCGCTGCTTCTTGGAGCTTCAGGTTTTGTCTCTGGCTGGTTCACTTTTGTCAGTTTCCTTGCGCCGGGCAGAAATTAGCAAACCTGGTGAGTTTCGGCTTTGGCTGCCTGGAGGAGGATGAATGGGTTTTTGGGTTTTTTTTGGGGGGGGTGAAGAGGAAGTTTTTCTTTTTTTCCCCTTGGGATTGGGAGGGTGATTTGAGAGGTGCTGACGAATAGTTCCTACAAGGTTTGAATTTGGTAAATTTATGTACTCTTGAAAAGATGAACATGATGGGAGTGGGGGCGGGAGGGGTGATCTTGCAGACTATTAATTCTGTTGCCGTATTTCTTTTAAAATAAAACTAACGAAAGTGTGCCCAACGCTTAAGAAAAGTTGAGTGAATTCATACTCTTCTGAATTTGCTGTGTATTTTTTGATGAAGCCTTTTCATGCTTTAAGATTGTCATTATGCCAACCAAAGAGCTGTTCTTTAAAAGTGAACTTAAAAGTTACTTGCAAAGCTAGAGCTTTAAAGGATCAGAGTGAATAATTATACCCGTGTAAAGGGCAGAAATATATTCCCTTACCAAAAGTTGAACATAGAATTTAGATATCTGTGGATGCCAGGGAAAAAGTGCTATGCATAATTTCAAGTTGTTTGATTCTGGTGTATATTTAGGCTGTTAGGACTGTGAGTTTCGAGGAGGTTATTTAAATTACTTTCCACAGTTCTAGCAAATGTCAAATGAGCCATGTGCACACAATATATTGTTTTCTAAGCATTACAAGAATTTTATTATCTGCCAGCCTTATCAATGTGCAATGTAAGTTTCAAGTTGTAAGTTAACTCTTTTCCCATATGTTAAGTAAAAAGTATGGCTCCTTTACTGTTCCTTATAGAATTTGATTTTTAAGCACTTTTGGAGAACAATGAAATGTCTTTAAATTTACCTGGATTTTGTTGTTTTATACCCAAGATTCAGTTTTTGAAAACAATTACTGGTTACTACCTATTTAAAAATAGCTATACTTTTTTCTTAAATTTCCTTTTTAAAATTGTTTCTTTTGGGAACACTCACTGCCACTGGCAAGGCTCTCTGTGGTACTGACCAGTTCACTAGAATATGCCTTGCTGCTTTCCCTGGGACCACCTGGGTGCTCTTGGTGCCAGCCCTGAGTGCTCCTGCCACCTCCAGGGCAACATTCAGCATGCTGGGTAGGGCTGGTGTTGCTAGGAATGGAGCAAATGTGGATTTATCTTTATGAGTCAATTCAGTAGCCACAAGTTCTTAGAATTTTGTCACAAACTTAGGAGTGCATATAATGAATTAATGTGTACCTAGCCATATCCATGTAAAAATCTGCCATTAGGTACATACATGCTGTTTACAATTTGTAAATTTGTATTTGTGCTGGTAAAAAGAATTATGGCATACAAATTATACACTTCTACGGTTGCATTTGGTAAATCACTGGAATTCCTGTGACAGTGTAGCTAAAACCAACATTAAATGGAAAAATAGATGTTTTGATACTGAAATTCAGATTCACTTAATTATTTTTTTATACATTCTGAAAAAAAAAACTGCCATACTGGACAATGCTCAGAGGTTACTGCTGGCTTTGCACTCAGGGATCACTCTTTGCAGAGCTCCAAGTATCATATGGAATGCCAGGGTTCAAACCCCAGGGTCTGTCACAGGCAAGGCACACACCCTCCTCACTGTATTATTGCTCTGATTCCTTCAGAAATTTTAACCTCAATGTATCAGATTTGTTGAAAATTATACAAATTATAGCAAGATGTTTAAGATATGACACAATTTATTTACATTTATGTTTGCTGAAAGTCATTTTATCTTTATCTTTTAAAAGAAAGCAGAAAGGAGAACTAATGAAGAATTGCTCCTTAAGAGAAGTTAGCATTTTTCTTAAGTCTAAATATGCATTTAATAAGTACTTAAATTTTGACTTTGTAGTTAATTCAAATGTGCAAAGGGAAAAAAATAAATGTCCAAGTCTGTAATGTTGAAATTTAGAAGTATCTCTTGGGCTGGAGCGATAGCACAGCGGGTAGGGCGTTCGCCTTACACGCGGCCAACATGGCCGACCGGAGTTCGATTCCTCCGCCCCTCTCGGAGAGCCCGGCAAGCTACCGAGAGTATTCGATATGCCAGACACAGTAACAACAAAGTCTCCAATGGAGATGTTACTGGGCCCGCTCGAGCAAATCGACGATCAACGGGAGGGCCTTTACCTTTACCTTTACCTCTTGGATAGAAAAATATGTGAGTATAATGTAATGTATAAAATATATAATAAAATTATATATGAACAGGTGAAAACATGAAATACGGTAGCCCATAAGAAAGCAGGAGAAACCAAAGTGAAAATTTTAATAATTTATTTCAAACCTGCAGTATGAATTGCCTTGCATGTTGAATGGACACAGTGAGGGCAAGAAGAGGCAGTATTAAAATTTTGAGCTTCTGAAACAGGAACCCTCACTAATTAACAGTAAAAAATTGTTTGTTGGTATACTTTTAAACTGGTAAAATTTGAATAATACATCAGATAAGGTCATTGAAGTACTGAGGTTAGAACAGTAATCTCAGTTTGGGGGTGGGGGAGAGATTTTAACCATTAGCAGTTGTATATTTTTTCCTTTACAGTGCTCAATAAATTTTTGGTACCATAGAGCAAATCAAGATTCAGTGGGACCATAATGGGTAAATTATTTGTCTTATGTTGGCTGGAGCAATAGCCCAGTGGGTAGGGCGTTGCCTTGCATGCGACTGACCCAGGTTCAATTATTTCGTCCCTCTCGGAGAGCCCGGCAAACTACCAAGAGTATCCTGCCCGCACGGCAGAGCCCGGCAAGCTCCCCGTGGCGAATTTGATATGCCAAAAACAGTAACAATAAGTCTCACAATGGAGACGTTACTGTTGCCCACTCGAGCAAATTGATGAACAATGGGAGGACAGTGCTTTATAGGACAGTGTGCCAGGTTGAATAGAGGAAGAATAGAAGTTTCTGTCCTGGGCTCACAGTGATGATAGTACAGAAGGCTGGACACTTGACTTACACATCGCCAATCTTTACCAACCCAGGTTTGATCTTGGCACCTTGTATGGTCCCCTGAGCCCACCAGGAGTAAGCCCTGAATATCAGTGGTCTGGCCTGGATACTAAAAGAAAAGGAAATATTCTGTCCTCGTTAAGCTTAAAATTCTAAACATGGATTCTCAAAATGCAGTCTCGGCATCACCTGGGAACTTGTTAGAAACAAAAATTTTCAAACTCTATCCCTTTTTACCTTTAGTTTGGAATCTGTTTTAATAAGCCTTTCAGGTGATTCATATGAAAACTCAAGTTTGAGATCTATGTCAAGACAGAGAAAAGACCCAATAAATAAAATGAATAAGTGCATATATGTGAGTGTCTGTGTGTGTATATATCATATGTTATCCAGAAATCACAGCAAGAACTAAAGATTAAAAGGGAGTGGGTTGGGGAGATGGCTTTAAGGGTCTGGAATACATACTTTGCATGCAGGAACCCCAGGTTTGATTCCTAGCACCTTATGGTCCCTACTCCCAAGAAATGCCAAAAGTGGCCCCTGAGTACTGCCAGAAGTGGGTCTTCCAAAAAAAGAAAGAGGGATTTTGACTTAATGGATGTACATGATCATAGACCACAAGTTCAGAGAATGGCAGAGTATTCATCTGGTTTTATCTTAGGTTAATCTTATGTCTCTATAGACATTTTTGTTAGTATTCAGATTATTGTTTTTGTTTTTTATACAGAATCATCTTGGGGCCAGTAGTTTTAGTGCAAGAAATGTATTGAATAAATAACTTTGTACAATTTTATATTGTTCCTGGCTTTGGGGGGAAGATCTCAGTTCATGCTATAAAAATGCAGAAAGATCAGATAGCTGGTTCAAAGGGCTGAGCCTGGGGTCTATCCCTGTACTTCAAGCACCTTCAGGCACAGCGAAACCCACAACCAACAAAAAGTGAGAATGTGTTCTGACTTTTTTTTAAGTTTGAGTGTTTTA